TCCCGGGACATCAGTTCATCCCAAAATGATCAATTCCTGGGACATCAATGCATGCCAAAATTATCAATTCCTGGCACATTGGTGCACATCAGCAATCAGTTCCTGGAACATTACTGTATGCATAAATGGTCAGTTCCTGGAAAATCCCTGCATCGTGCATTATCAATCCCGCATCAGAGAGCCCCACATCTGAGAACACCAAACACAGCCTTCCAAGTATCCGAATTCATTGGAAAGTACCCCGCATAGAGGGATAGGGGCATCAGCAGGGCATGTGGGTCTCAACAGGGATTGTTCGGAATTTGGGGGTGTTGACCTGGGTGAGGTCCTAGGGCTACGACCTGCTTAGTTAAGGACAACCTGTTGTAAGACAAATGGCTCAGGGAGGTTATTGCCCTCCTCGTGATGGCCTTGGAGACCCTGGACGTTGGTAGCAGAGACGACCGTGGGGGACTCTGGGCAGGTGCACGGACTTTGGGTTCCCCCCACCCCGGGGCCGCAGTGCTGGACTCATCAGTCTCAGCCTTTGCAGGGTGCACACGGTCCGCTATTCGGGCACACGTGCTGAAGGACAAACACAGCCTCGTCTCCCAAAGGCTGAACGTATCCTACTCATTGAGTTTCCATGGTGGGCAATGGGGTGATAATGTCCCCAAGGAAATGTGAGGTAACTGTGGAGCCGGGGGGAGGATATGCCAACTTGGATCTCTGTTCTATTCGAGTTGTGCCGTCAGATCCCAGCGCAAACTCACCGACCCAGACTCTGAGGATCGGACGATAATGATGCTCTGGGCAAAGAAGTTCAAGGTTAGTCCGGAAATCCTACCCGGTTATCGGAGTGAATCCCTGGGGTAAACAGCCTCCTTGGGGAAAGCGTGCTTTCGCAAGAGCGGCGAAGATGCCATGGCCGCGAACACATTTGGCCAGCGCCTGGAAATGTCCAATCCATCCTGGGGCTCGCAGAAGCGCGGTGGGGGGGGGGGGTGCCTGCACCCCGGAGGCTGTGCCCGAAGCCGTGTGGGGTCCCCTGCGCATTCCTAACGAGAATCTCCTCCTTCATCCATATTCTAATGGAAAATATGCTGGAGACCTCCCCACAGCACAGCTTGGCCCATCTCAGATGCTAACACTTACGGCATGTCTCCTACATGCCCAGGGAGAAATGTTTTTTAATGTCTGTTTCTGAGATTGAGTGGGGGAGGGGCAGAGAGAGAGGGAGACAGAATCCGAAGCAGGTTCCAGGCTCCGAGCTGTCCACACAGAGCCCGACGTGGGGCTCGAACTCACGGACCGCGATATCGCCACCCGACTCGAAGTTGGACGTTCAGCTGACCAAGCCCCCCAGACGCCCCTCTTTTTAGGAATTGTTGACATTGGGAAATGCATCCATCAGAGATATGGGAAGGAGTCCTACGAGGATAAAACATCACCCCGTGCAGCCATTTCAAACCTACCCAGGCACAGGTGCGGAGATGGGAGAAAGGATAAATAAAATTTTGACGGGAATAAACTATGAATGCTGAGCCGTCTCCGCAGATGTCCTATTGATCTTTCTTGTGTGAGATAAATCGTCAGCATGGGTCCCGAGACTCCAGAAAGAGGCAGTCTTTTTCATCCCGGCAGCAAATGCAAACACAATTTTCCTCCTGAAGTACTTAACATTTGCAACATCTCGATCGCTCCGACATGGAAGAATTTAAGATAAAGTTAACAAAACAAAACAAAACAAAACAAAACAACAGACGGGTACCTGGCTGGCTCAGTCAGTTAAGTGTCTGATTCTTGATCTCAGCTCAGGTCTTGATCTCAGGGTTGTGAGTTCAAGACCTGCATTGGGCTCCGTGCTGGGCATAAAGCCTATTTAAAAAAATTTTTTTAAAAAGAAAAGACAGGCAGAAATTGTAGCTTCCCTCGGCCCCTGGGAGGGCCCTTCATGGAACACGGCTGGGGCTGGTTCCAGGAGGCAGGTGCTTGGATAATAGGATGTGGGTCCTCTGATCCCACATCCTTGGAAACAGTCAGCTCGGGGGTAAGACGCACTGTCCCAGAGGAGGGTCCTGGGCAAAAGGTTTTGGGAAATTCTGCAGACCCTCTAGGACCCTAAGGAAGCCATGGCCAGGGTCCTGCTGGGAGAAGCCCCGAGTTGGAAAAACGTGTGTGCGCCCGTTGACCCCGGGGCCCCCCCAAACCCTCATAAATAATCCCGCCTCACAGTTCACATGAGACACGGCTCGGCTGAATGCGCGTGCCCACAGACCACGGCACGAGGCCCATGGGAAACGCCCTCCCTTCCTGCAAGTCAAGGCCAGTCTGAGCCGAGCCCCCATCCTGGGTCCCCGGGATGCCGCTCCTGGAGCCAGAGACGTTCTGCACAGGTCACAGGTGGGATGCGGGCTTTCCTGTCGTGCACACGACTGTGCTGTCATCGAGGAGGGGGGTCTCCTACGGTGACACGTCTGGCACAATAATGACTCTCCAGCGACTGAGTCCTCTGCTAGAGAACGGATTGCACGAGGTCAGGACTTGCATACCACTGGGCCCTTCCTGCCGGGGAAGCACCAAGCTCCTGGGAGGTGGCTGCAGGGAGCTGAGGGATGACCCCGCCCAGACATGTCCATGATGGGATCCCCATGTGGTGGACGGACCCATGTCCCCAGACACGTCCACGACCCGATCCCCACGTGGCAGACAGCCTCACGTCCCTAGACACGTCCCCAACCCAATCCCCACGTGGTGCACAGACTGACGTCCTCAGACATGTCCATAACCCAATCACCACATGGCGGACAGACTGACGTCCCCAGACACGTCCACGACCCGATCCCCA